TTTCATTACTAACGACCGAGCACCCCAGCTGCGGTTTGATAAAAAAACAAAGCCTAATTTTTTAAGTCAAGACAGGACTTCATTAAATGACAAATCAAACCACATCAGCAGATATTACTATACTTTTTTTTTAATAATTCTAATAATAAAAAAAAACATAGGGATTTTAGGTATTTTCATATTTAACTTATTAAGTTATAACCACCTTCAAATATATGCATAAATTTATATATTTTTTCTTTAAGAAAATAATTTTAATGATTTTTTATATAATCTTAAAAATTTAGAGATTGTAAAATAATATTTAAATTTAAATATTAGATTTATAATTATATAATAATTGAGTTATTGAATTTTTTTTAATATTTATTACATGAAATATATATCATCAACATATGGCCCACCAAATATTTAATATTTATGATTACCATCTCATTACCTATCATCAATCTCTAACTTAATAATTATATATGTATTGGACTTTGTATTGTACTTATCACTTAAAAACCAATAATCATATTTGAGAAAGAAACAAATTGCTGGAATTGGTCAAGTAGCTATCTCTGGCCAAGTTTAGAACTTGAAGGGTTGACCAAATAATGTTTCAAAAAAAATATCTTGAAATTTACATTTATACCAAACAATACTTAGGTTATTTACATTTTTTGCTTGTAAAAATTTGATATTTGCACTTATAACACGATGAAATTTATGCATGAAATTGTGTAGTTCACTGAAGGTGATATTTTTTATGTGTTAACAAGTTGAGTGGTATGCATGGTACTATGAATGCTTAGAGATTAGACTTATAAATGCAAAAAAAAAAATTGTGTTGTTAAAGAGTTGAGTGGTGTGTATGTAATTACGAAAGTATAGGAGTTTGATAAGTAAATACATAAGAATTATGTGGCATGTATGTAGTTACCAAGCGTAAACACTTAAATTAATCGGGCATAAATTTTATTTCATACGATTTTGGCAAACAACTCAAGTTTGACAAAGCAGTTTCTTGGCTTGGCTGGTGTAGACAGGAATGCGGTTATACGAAAATTTTTTACTTGTTTTATTGAATTGAGCTCACCTGTAGAAGTGACTAAATCGACGCAGCAACATAAAATGACCTCGACAAAATGTATGCAACTTTGAGAAAATTTGACCTCAGACTTAATCCACTGAAATGCCTTTTTGAGCCAGGTCTCAAAAAAACCTTAGATATCTGATCACACATGAGAGGAAAAAACAAAATTCTAAGAAGGCACGCGCCATAATAGACAAGACACCTCTAAAGAATCTCAAGGAGATATAAATCCTAACATAGCTAATTGTGGGCCTCAACAAATTCATCTCAAAATTCAGAGATCATTGTTCTTCTTTCCTATTAGGTTCACCAATCAATTCACATGGATGGAAGAATGTAAATGAGCTTTCACGCAACTTAAAGAGTTGATATCATCTGTTCCTATATTGCATAGTCTCGTTCTTGAAGAAGTGCTATTTAATTTGGGAGTTGAACAAGCACTGAATTAATGAATAAATATTCACGAGATGATTCAAGTTTACATGAAATCTAGATGGCATGGGCTAGATTATATCAACTTGAAATATTCTCTTCAAGTAGACATGAAGATTTGATATCATATGGGAGTTGGTAAGGAAGTCATCAATTCAGTGTTTGTTCACGAAGAAGAAGACATGAAATCATTCTTGATCCACTATGTAACTAAAATACTTTAAGGAGTTGGAGGTAAATACTTAATAAAGGAGAAACTTTCACTAATCACATCAGTGAGAAAATCACACCCCTACATCTAAGCATATGTTTTTGTTCTTTTGTAATTGTTGGAGTTGCCAGCTTATCTTATCATTATCGTTTAATTCTCTATTCCAAACAAATCTCATTTTTGAACCATTAAAGTGATTTAAAGAACAGGGGAGTCAGAAAGAAAGAAAAATATTATAAAAATAAATAAATAATTTTAAAAAGAAGATGGAGAACTTTTTTAAGGTAACATTCGCTTGATAGCTCAAGAACTTACGTCCGAAATGAGATTGCATCAAAACGATTTGGAAGCATATCCATGAAGAAAACTCTATGAAGGTAACCCACAACCAAATAATCAAATGTTTGTTTTGTTCTGAGGTCAATAACAACTCCCAAAGAGACATAGCCTTTTGGTTAATTATATCTTCGGAGTTGCCCAATAATACTCATGATAAAATGAGTCTTTCTTACAAAAATGTTATATCAAGTTATTAAGAAACCAATGATTTCTTATGGTTATCTCAAGCAGGAGAAACCCGATGAGCTAAGGCCATATCGGGTCATATAATAGAGGGTGAATCAATGTATCCACTATGGCCAACGTCCTATTGGCAAATGGGACCCACTAGATGACCTCAACAAAGTTTCAAAGGAGCATATAGAGCTCAAAAAGAGGTGCCAAAAGAAAGGGGAGGAATCCCTAAATAGGAAGAGGTAGCCAGATCAAGATACCATAGATTCGTCAACCCAAGATATTAAGGTCCTTAGTTTACTTGGCCGTAAAGGTAATCGACCCAACCTGACCTAAGATTCCTTGTGAATAATCCATGAATTACATCATCCAAGGAGACCTCAGTAGCCTTAAGGTCAAAAGAAAGAGAACTCTAATGAGATGGGACTTATACTCGTCAAATAAATGATGAAGATATCACTGGAGTGGAAAGGAAAAGAGATGTCTAGCTACAAAATGAAAAACATTCCCACAACCTGATATGGGCCTTACATAATAAAAGAGCAAGCCAAAATAAAAACCTACAAACTCATGACCCATTCAAGAAAGGAAGCCCCTAAACACAGAGGAGAAGTGAATTAAAGATATTTTTCCTTTAAAACAGGAGATCACGACAACACCCTTTCATAAGATAAGTATTTCAAGCCATTTTAAGCTATATTTAAAGCTATTTTATAATTATGGACATTATGTTAATCAATGGAAAATTTAATCAATGGAAAATTTTTTGAATAATTCATCAAACTCAAAACAATAATTCACCATAAGGCTAACTACTAAAATTTCGAGATAAACGGAGACCCTCAGGTCACCTTGTAGTAGTAGCTAAAAGCTAATAATGACATAAGACTTAAAAAGGATTAAAAAATTTCTCGAGTTGAATGACATTCAAGTGACTTATTTCTTCTTATAGGAAAATTGATGAGTTGCAACGAAATAGTACTTTTACAACTTTTTGTTAAATATTTGCGATGACGCTTTTTGAAAAAAATAGCCTTATCCAAAAAATGTTTATAGAGGTCTTGAACAAGCAAGCAACAATTAAACACAGTAAGATTCAACGAGTTCTAGAAAACATTTTCAGGAAAAAAAGATGAATGAGACACAATATAAACTAACAGTAACACAAACTTGTGTAACATCAATCCTACAGCAATATGTAACCATTCTTTACAATTATTTTAAAGAGAGAGGAGATCCAGAAGTTATTCAATTCTAACTATTTCAAGAATTCAAAGAAATCTTTCATGACCTCCAATAATGGAGGCTGGTTCGGAAAGCTTCACGTGAAGCTTCTAACCAGAAGATCATCGAAGAGCCGAAAAAGGTCATCGCCACTGATTCGCCTTTCCCATTACTAAGTAGTTGAACCAGTTCCACAAGACATATTTGGCTAATATGAAAGTGATATTTTCTTGAGAATATATGAAGCATGTGACCATAAGAGCATCATAGAGAAGTTATTGCAATGAGAATTGAATCGGAAAACATATTTTAAAGAATTTGGTGTGTGAATGAAAGCCATTATGAAATGACAATATATCCACTTGCTCACTGATTACTCAATACAAGAAGTAAATATGTTATTCTCTAAGAGCGACAGAACACAAGCACTAATAATTGCTTGAGAAAACTCGACACAAAATCATTCCAAAGAGGTGGATTGAGTATGGAGTTTTGAGGCAATGTTGTCACAATCAAGCACTTATATTTATAACTGACAAAATGACGACCTCATGTTAATAGACCTTTGAGAAATTGGATGGGTGGTTGGATAAGTGGGATGACTTTGGTGTTCACCTGATCAGAATATGACAATAGAGCAATCAATTCGAAAACTTCATTTTGAATTCAAAAATTAAAATTAATATTTTCATTTAGACAATCTTTGTGGAATGAAAAAGATGGTGCATCATACTCCAAAAAATTATGCAAAAAAAAAAAAGATCACAATTTTATAGGAGGACCAGTCAAATATGAAGGAATGCAATGAATATTTATTTGAAAAGAACAAATTATTGATTTGCCTTCAAATGCTTATATAGATGTTAAAAAAATATTATGATTAAAATATTGGACCAAAATTATTATCTTTACTATGCTAACCTTACTAAGATATATGTCATTATAAACCGTGCCATGACCTAGATTCTTTGATAAAATTTTTATTGAAATTTAATTCACATTTAATATTTAATTTATGTAATTTTTTAAAAAATTAGAATAAAGTTCATTGATGTGAGTTGTACTCTAAATTAAAATTTTATTTAGGAAGGAGATTTTCAAGATCAAATAAACATGTTTTTTATTATGAAATAATATTAAAAATAGGAATTAGGGATCAATAAATAATTTATAAATTTTATAAACTTTTCTTCCAACATAATCTTATTACATCAAAAGTATTTTTTCCAATAAAGATGAGCTATGAGGTATCTTTATGTCCCTTAGTTTAAGAATATTTGATGTTAGTTCCAATCAAAAGAAGCCACGTGTTAAAATTTGACTTCTCAACAGTTCCGGCGGAGCACCGCCCGAGGCCGGTCCTTCTCTGCGCAAGGAGGAATAATTGGCGGAGAAGAAGGGCCCGGATTCGCGGGGCCCACCACGTTGCCTATCTATTTTGACTCGGCCCAAATAAAAATACATCTTATTAGGTAATTATTTTAATAATTAATAAAGATAATCTGACCTGTTCCTTTCCCGATTTCTCCTCTTCCCTAAAATAAATCTCCCGGAAACCCTAGAAATATCTCTCCATCGCAAGAAACCCTTTCGATCTGTTGTCTCAATCGCTAGATCTCATCCTGCGACTTCAGATCCCTTCCGTTTTTTCTTCTTTTCTTTGTTTTCTATTGTTATTCGTCCCCTTCCAGGGGAGAATCGTTCCATAACTACAGTTTCGTGCTGGTGATTTGAGGGATTTCTTGGATCCGTTGTTGGAGTCCGCAATCCGCATGTCTGAGAGATGTCTGTGGTGCCGAAGAACGAAAACATTCTGATCCGGGAAGTTTGGGAAGAAAACCTGGAGCAGGAGTTCGCGCTTATCAGGGAGATCGTTGACGACTTTCCTTATATCGCCATGGACACGGAGTTTCCCGGGATCGTGTGCCGGAAGGTGGGGAACTTCAAGTCGCCTTCTGATTTCAACTACGCGACGCTGAAGGCTAACGTTGATATACTGAACGTGATCCAGCTTGGCCTCACCTTCTCCGACGAGAAAGGCAACCTGCCGACCTGCAATACTGATATTGGCTGCGTTTGGCAGTTCAATTTTCGCGAGTTTGACATCCAGAACGATGTATACGCTGCCGACTCTATTGAGTTACTTTGCCAGAGCGGGATCGATTTCAAGAAGAATAGAGAGAGCGGCGTTGACGCCCTTCACTTTGCTGAGCTAATTATGTCTTCTGGTATCGTTCTTAACGCGGACATCCAGTGGATTACGTTCCATAGTGGTTATGACTTCGGCTATCTTCTTAAGCTTATCACATGTAAAAGCCTACCTGAGACGCAGTCTGGGTTTTTTACCCTCATCAGGACCTACTTCCCAACAGTGTACGACATTAAGCACCTCATGAAGTTCTGCAACAATCTTCATGGTGGGCTCAATAAACTTGCAGAGCTGATCAATGTGCAGAGGTTTGGGGTTAGCCACCAGGCTGGATCTGACAGTCTCCTCACCTCCTGCGCCTTCAGGAAGCTTAGAGAATCTTATTTCAATGGCTCATTGGAGAGATATGCCGGTGTGTTGTATGGCCTTGGTGTTGAGAGTGGACAGAATACTGGTACTCATTGAGAATAAAAAAATTAGCAACAAAACTTAATAAAAAAAAGTTTGATATAATTTTTTTTTTGTCTTTCCTTTTACCATTTTTCACTTATTATCTGTTTCTTTTTTTAATTTTCATTTTACTGCTGCTTTTTTTCATTTATGTGCTTTGACGTAGAGATTGCTTTCTCTTGCTATATGTTTTTGGTCAATTTTGATTTTTATATTGAGCTCTTACTAGTTTATAGTGTAATCAATTTATTAGGTCTTCGGCCACTGGTTTTAACAGTTATTTTTTAGAAGGACATCATCTCTGCTGTTCTGATTTCTACTGCTTTCATTATTTTCAGTAGCGCCTAGCATTCTAATAGTTTTAATGAAAATTTTTGATTCCGATTCTTTCATGATATTTTGAACTGTTATAGAAGTTTCTTACAATTATGGGGCTAGTTGACTATAAGTAGGATTTAGTAAATATTGTGAGGATCAAAACCTGAAATTGTTTGGCTTGACAATTGTTAAATGATGCTAAATCCTGATAATGCGTTCGAATATGAGATTATCTAAAAATGGGCGAATTCAACCAAAATCCTTTATTTAATAAATAATGGGTTTGCAATAGGATTTATCATATTGATAAGATTTGAAGTTCCTAAATTTCTGAATTTCTGTTTTGGGATTGTTTAAGCTATATCTTTGTTTAAATCTTGCAAAAAACAATATACCAAACAGCTTATTTTGCTTGTTCTCAGGGTCACATCTTTCTATTTCATTCGATATGTATGGTTTTTATTTTTTAATTATTGCTACATGTAGAATGTTTTTAGGCTGGGGAGGTCATTATTATGGCTTCATGATATTTTCCAAGTCTTCCTAGTTATTTCATAGTGGTATTTAAGGTGCATCAGTGAGATGCTTAGTTTTGTATAGAATAACTCCATGTTATTGGTGTTTCATGTTCTACCTTCTCTTTTCTTAGAGGCAAGCAAGGTAGTTTGCCTCTTCACAAAAAGTGGGATTGCTCCAATAATAAAAAGGCAAATAAAAAAAAGAAATTACATGTATAGGTTCAATAGTCGTGTAGTTTGATTTTGCTTATTTTTGTCCAAAATAAATTGTTTTTGTTTGATCATTGGGCCTTTCTAAAGATTTTAAGTAAAAAAAATAGATGATATGCATCTGAACTGAACTTCTACGAGGTGGTTATGAAAATATGCTGTTTAAAGCGTTTATTTATCGAGCTGAAATATTACAAGACTGTACTTTGATTGACAATATTGATACCACAGAATTTTTGGCTGTTTGCTTAGTGTTTTATTAACTTAGAAGCAATTGCTTATTTCATATTACAAATTGCAGAAGACTAGTATTATTTCTCAAAATGAACTATTGATGTAATGTGGCAGTGACCTAAGTTTGAGCCTTGGTTTAACAACTTAGTGTCAGTTTGGGACAGTTGCAGTTTTTTATAAAGGTGATTATAAAAATGTGATGAGAAAAGTAATTTTTATAAAAAACTGTGGTGTGAATTATGAATATTTATTTTTGGTAAAATGTCAACGGCAACTTTCTTTTGACCACCACACTTTATGAATTTGGTTGCAAAAAGCAGCTCACCACATAAATTTCTTTAAAACATCAAGAAAAAATTTCTCCAAACAAAATTGTGGTGACAGTCTAAAACACAAAGAAAGTAGAAAGTGGTCTTATACAGATCTTTAGTTTCAACAAAGAAGTTTTTGCTATTTCTTTAGGATTTTATCAACCCAGATGCAATTGCTCATCTTCTAATGGAAATTGCAGCATATATGCTTTAATTTTATTAGTTGAAATGATGACCAAACTTTGATAAAATGGATTCCAAGTGATTTCTATTTTATTTGTTGAAAAGTGCTTGACTTTGCTCTTTAGAACAAACTTTGATCTCAGTTGTTTGAAAGGTTTGCAAGGCTTTAATTCTTCATTTAGTGTGCTCAATAAAATCGTGTTTTATTTTTCTTTCGTGATGTATTTTGGCTAACTACTCAATTTTATTAATTATTAGAAGAGTTAAATATTGATGCAACTTTGTATTCTTCAAGCTTATGTACAGATTTTTTTTTCTAAAGCCGGTCATTTGTGACTAAATTAGGTTTCTTCTTTTTCTTCTATGGATTTGCTTTTGTTGTATATTCAATTACATTCTTCTAGAAAGTTGATAACTATAACTTGGCAAGACTATAACTTGGCAAGTTTTTTTTTTTAACTTTTTCAACTATCGTTACTATGCATACTTATAATGTGACATTTACATACATATCACCCAATTACTATATGCTTACATATCTAATTCCTAAACTTGCATTTTTTTACATTTATACCACTTAATCTCTCATGTCACGTAAAAATACTGCTATTTTTTAATTTCAAAAAGTAAAATACACATTTTCATGCATAGGTAAGGTGGTATATGTGTAAAAATTGAAATATAGGTGGTATGTATGTAATTTTTTCTTATTTTTATTTCTTATTTTTCAAAAAATGAAATATACCTTCTCATGCATAGGTAAGGTACATGCATCTGTAAACAATTGAATTTTTTGTGTTAAATATGTAAATACCTAGGAATGGAGTGATATGTATGTAAATCTTTCTTATTTTTATTTTGTGCTTCTCATCCTTCACGATTTTTAAATCTCGTGTTATCATGTATATTTGTCTTGATTCTACATTACAACCAAAGTGCTTTTATTAAAATAAACTCTCTCTCATATCTTCCTAACTTCATAGCTGTGGCTGTTTTTCTTTCTCATTTATGAATTAGAAGCTTCATTCGACATTAAGTCAGTTTTGCATGCCCTTTAATGAATTCGCAAAACATGTAAAATCATCAACCTGTGTCATATTTATTGGGGCAGATTGAAGAATCGAAAGATAGGTAGACTGATCGATAATTTTAACAACATAGGTGGGTTGGAATGCTATGTGTAATTCATTTGGTTCCATAGATTTGATAAAGTTGTTTATACTTGAGTATTAATTACTAAATTGGTTTGAATATTTTGGATGTTATTTGAGCTTTTTAATTAAAGCTATTAAAATTAGGGGCATTTACATACATACATATCTTTCATATCACGTTAAAAAAATATCACTATTTTAACTTTTAAAAGTAAAATACACCTTTTAATACATAGGTAAGATGGTGTATTTATAAAATTGAAATTTAGATGTTAGATATGTAAAAAACATTGGAACTGAGTGATATGTATGTCAATCTTCCTTAAAATTATATGCATCTTATGATTGATGTGTTGTGTATGAACAAAAGAATACAAACACAGCACATTTTCGACATGGGAAATAGGATTCCTAACTTGACTCAAAAAATAATTTGTTTGAAAATTTAATTAGTAATTGTTCATATTGTGTCTGGATTAAAATCGATGAACCAACTAACATGCCATTGCCGACTTGTATCAAACTTGAATTTAGTTATTGAGGTCAAATCTAAATTTATATGCATATATGTATTTATGCATGCATTTCTATAAGTAGTCGAACATATAAGCATTTATGATTCTATATATGCATGCATTTATATAGCACGGCATGTGTTTATGTTGGGCAAGGAGTTTGATTTAGAGATCAAATTTTGAAGGGGACGGTGAATTTAATTATCTACTTCAAGTAAATTTACTAGAAAAATCTTCCTCTCAATTTGGACATGGATCATACAGGGATCAAGAGATTAGATCAATTGATTTTGTATCTTTTAATTTCTTGATATAAGTCACCAATAATTGATAGATGAAGATAAATCTTCAATCATGCCATGGCGATCAAGATTGAGAGGTGCAATCCAGGGGATGGCCAGATTATAAGAAATTTTGAATTTGTTTTGAATAATTTTGTATTTAAAACTTTTTAAATTTGAAAATTTCTTTTGTGGAGTTAGTTTACAGGCAGTTCATAATGACAATGGCTCTAAATAAGCCCATTTTGGCAGTTGAGTTTTAATCTAATTCTTCTCCTATCTTTTTTCTCTCTTTTATTCCTCTCAGTTGTCAGGCCTTCCCGATTTCTTATATATATATATAATGTATTTAAATATGAAATTATTCATCGGTCACACCCAAGGACTACAACATAAATAAGGAAAGAAAGAGAAAGAGCTAGCAGTTTCTTTGAATACAATATTTTTTATGTCAGGTTTCCACCTTTATCTATTACAAATAATGCTCTTCTCTTTAGAGGAGAAGAGTTATTACAAATAATGATTATCTATTTATAGGAAAATAGTGGTTGTAAAATGTAATCATACCCCTAGCTCTATGCAATCAGACTGGAGAGGGTCGATTGGAGAGTTTCGACTGGAGTTGTTGACTAGAGACTGGAGCAATCAATTGGAGTTGGCCTACTGGAGCTATTTGACTAGAGAGGGAGATTGGAGATGGTCGACTGGAGCTAGCTAATTGGGTTGAATGAAGCTTGGTTGAATTCGGCAGATTCCTTTGATAATCTCAGTTCCATAAACTATGAAGGAGGATTTTTGTCATACATATTGGTTTCCCGATTCTCTTCTCTTTGAAAGGCGTCTATGAAATGAATAAGAGAGATGAATATAAAGCTAAAATTATTCATCTCTATACGACAAGTACATGCTTTTCTCCAAATACTAGTTAAAAACATGCTTTTCTCCAAATACTAGTTAAAAAACTATTTAAGTAAAAATGATTGGGGTATCTCCCTATGTGTCGACTATGCATCTGCTCGAGGGCTCTTAGCTATCTTACAGAATTATGTATCAGGGTCATTTTGGCTCGCCTTTAAGAAGTAGTCTCATAGATCGCCAACTCTCACTATTACAGTTGACTTGGTCTTATAAGGAGAGTTTCCCGAGCATTACAAGTGAAAAAGTATTCTTCTCTTTTAGTGTGATTAGATTGATTATTTCCTTTTAATATGATTTAGTTATAAAGAAATTTAACTAGTTTCATTAAATTCAGACTATCCTTTCCTAGGGGAAGCACGAATACGAACACGGACACGACAAGACACAACACGACACAGAGATATGATATA